TCCTGCTGATTTTCAGATATGCTTTACATCTGCAATCTCTACTCTTCCGAGAAAAAAAAATTCAATTTGATTTCTTTGTTTTGGAGTCATAGATGTAAACAGTTACCTTCCCCTTGGGGCTTTTCTCATTGGCCGGGTACATGAAGATTCCTCCGTAGGCGATAGTGCGATGAATGTCTGACACCATTGAGCCCACGTAGCGGGATCCGTAGGGAGAACTGCCATCCTGTGGGCAGAGGTAAAATATGTTACTTTTATGGAGTTTGATTGTGAGTTCAACAATGGTCGCAGGCCTGTATTTATTTGTAGTAATGTATTGATAAAGTGTTCCTGTAGCACTAAACCACCAGTGAATCAGTGAAGCATGATGCACTTTTTAGTGTCAGCAGATCAGCTAATACGGCTAATGTCATGGTTGCAACTGCAGCAGTTTTGTTTGTGTACAGAGATCATGACCTGCTCAGGCACTGAGAGGAAAATGTGAACAGTAAACAACAAACAGGTCAAAGTCCATCCTGTGGAAAACATCAGGATGTGGAGGGGTTTAAGAACACTGTGTTTTTTTAAGTATGAATAAGAATAACAATGGATTTTAAATAATATATAATAAATATTGTCAATGTGTGATTGATGTCACTGAACTGCACCTACTCTTTGCACTCCGTGTGAAGCACTGTGAGAGCAGAGCAGCTGTGATGTCAGCTTCATGTTCAGACACAACGTGACGAACAGTCAGGTGCTCGCTGAGTCACTCTTTAGTCAATAGTGGCGGTGGCGGAGGGTGAGGGTGAATGTTTGTGCAAACCAGATTATGTGCACAAAAACAGGACATAGACCACCCTGAACCTGAGACAACTTATAAAAACACTGTACTAAAATGTATTTGTTAAAACAGCTTATCCCCTTCCCCCAAAAATGCAAAAGTTAATTTTAAAATGCAACATGTGACATGAATGCAACTTATCATCATATGAATGATGACTCTCAAAACAAAACAAAAAATACAGAAGGAAATAACACTACAGAAATTAAAGAGAAAAATAGACTGTATGACTGTAAAGTTGTTTTCAACTTCCTCATAGAGATTCTATCGTTTTAGACCAACCATGTCAGACAACTTCTACATATTTCTCAACCTGATATACAGTAAGTACACTTGGGAGTTACTACAGCAGTTTCCTGCCAAAAAAAGAGTGCTACATCAGGCCTGCTCTGTGGGGAGGAACATGATGAGTCACCAACCAGTGGGGATTTTTAAGTGCGATATGTCATAAAATAATTTGAAATAAATGTAATTGTTTGTCTTAAAAAGTACATTTTAGCTGATCCCGCGTAATCACGTAAATCACGTGTCCTTACGCGTCATCACGTGCCTCCCTACAACCAATTTATATACGACTTTACACGTGTCCGCTTAACGTAAACATGGCGAGGAACGACGTAAATCATGCCGAGTGATTTTAAGGTAAAACTTCGTCATACACTTTAACATGTACGATAAACTGTCAACTGAATGGGCCGTCCTGTGGCCCGCCATAAGGCAAATGCTGTAATATTTTGCTCAATAGTCGTTCATTTCCGGTTGTTGGTATGACGTCATGTCGTTTCCAGCAACACTGATTTGCGTGACATCTTAAGCTAATGCTTTTACCTAGCCATGCCGGGGGATGCAGAAGTACATGTTACGTTTTATTAGTAGTGCTGTGCTCAAACAATAGACGAGACCAATTTAGGAAAATGTTTGTTACAAGTTTTAAATTATCCCGAAATTCGCTAAACACTTTTACCACAACCGACCAGTTACAGAGCGCGCATTAAATCACTCCACAAAGCTAATAAAACACCTCGTAGTGTACAAAAAGATAATTTACGTTACTGTAGTGTTTACTGCTGTTAGTTGAACAGTATGTTCCAAGGTATGTTTAATTTAAGTTCCATGAAAATACACTATACAATTGAATATACTGTAAATAACTTTAATTGACAAATACAATGTTTTTCAGGTCAAACTGTAAAAAACAAACAAACAGAAAAATAGCCTCTTGAGGAATGCAATAAAAATAACACGAACATCAAAAGGTTTCAGTTTACTATGATTTTGTGGAAAACAAATGCTGATTTTCAAATGTTCATCACTGTGATGTGCGTAATGTGCTGAGTGGGCATGTGTAAATGACGGAACAGGGTGTTTCCTGTGTCAGCGTCCTGCAGCTCAGCTGATAGTGCTGACCAGTCTTCATCCTGTCTGACTTGACCATGGCTCACATGCTCTGGTCAGAAAGGAAGTGGGCGCACATCTGTGGCTGCACGATGCATCGGAGTCTCTCACCTCATGTTTGTTAACCAGTGGACGTGGCCTCACAGAGATGTTTCTGTGGTGTAAATTGTAACTGTAAAATTGTTTAAAACTACAGCTGAAACCACAATAACTAGATGAATGCGTAATAGTATGTGTAATTAAATCTACTGTAACACATTTTTATTTTTATTCAATACACAGAGTAGCCTAAGGATTATACCCATGTATCCTTGGTTAAAATCCACTACATTTACAAAAGGAATCTCCAATGGCGTCTCCGTGTGGCAGCCTGCAATTGGAAACTACATACCTTACTGTGTTTGTTACAAAGGCTCACACTGAATTTCCCTTCCTTATTTAAATGGTTTATCAGGACATACAAGAGTAGGAAACAGGTGCTGTGACACACGTGACTTTCACCTTTCCTCTGAAGAACAACTTCACAGTCACAGAAATGAGACTAAACAGACGTCCTCACAGGTGTCAGTCAGTTATTTGAAGAAGTGAAACCGTTCTGTTTCTACTCTTACCTCTGGGTTTTTTTTGTGCTTCAGATACTCATTGATAGAAGGGTGGAAGTACTTGGTGTAGCCCTCGTTCAGACTGTAGATCTTTCCTTTTGGCTTGATCTTCACATTTCTCTCAGTGAGGATGAACTCTCCAATAGCCTGACAGAGAAAAAAACATATATGGATTTGTGTGATTAAACCGTCTTCACCAAGAGGTGATAAAATGAACAAAGAAGTCAAAAGCATTTCACAGTATTTTACCAAATAGAAAGGGGAAGTACTACACTACTACTAACCAGAGGTGGGACCAAGTCATTGCTTTGCAAGTCACAAGCAAGTCTCAAGTCTTTGCACTCAAGTCCGAATCAAGTCTCAAGTCAAAATAGGCAAAGCCCGAGTCGAATCCAAGTCAAGACTGAAAAGTGTCAAGTCAAGTCCCAGGTCCTGCCGTTTCTGTTTCGAGTCCTTTCGAGTCCTTCCACTCACTGCCACTCGTTTTTTGTTGACCACCTCGTAGTTTTTAAATCCGAACAACACGATCTTTGGTACCATTTTCTCTAACCCGCGCATTGTTCGACAGCTCTTTCTCATTGGTTGTCCCGCAATTTGATTGGCCAACGTTTTATTTGATTGGATGTTGTGCCGGCAGCACATACGTGCACAATGAGAGATATACAATAACTTACTTTATAATCTTTTGGTTTTGGAGAAAGTATCGAGTCTTGTCGAGTCAAAGGGCTCGAGTCCAAGTGAAGTCACGAGTCATTGATGTTAAAGTCCAAGTCGAGTTGCAAGTCTCTTTACATTTTGTCAAGTCGAGTCTAAAGTCATCAAATTGATGACTCGAGTCTGACTCGAGTCCAAGTCGTGAGACTCGAGTCCACACCTCTGCTACTAACTGTTAATTATGAATATAAATATATTAATGTATAATCCATCCATCCATCCATCCATTTTCATCCGCTTATCCATTACCAGGTCATGGGGGTAGCAGTCTCCATGACCACCACCCAGATCACATTGCACCAACCCCCCCTAAACCTTCCTGCGGGTGGTGAGTCCACTGGAAGGTACCAACAGCCCTAACCGGGATTCGAACTTACGCAGGAGGTGAACCCTGGGGTTCCACACTAATGACAGAGACAATGCCTCTGGGCCAAAGCACCACTTAATGTATAATGTAGTATATTATTATTGATCTAACATGATTGATCTATTATTGTATATGAATAATAATTATGACAAATGTCACAGATATTTTTGTGATTTCTTAGTTCTGCATACAGGAACTCACAGGATCCAGCATGAAGAAGTTGAGTCCTGCTCCGGTGCTGAGGGCCACCAGGGTGGCGCTGCCATATAGGGCGTATCCTGCACATACAATGTTGTTGCCCTGCTGCAGGGCATCTTTGTCTGTGGGCTCCCCCTCAGATATCTGGGCCACAGTAATAGAGAAGGAAAACAGAAAAAAAACATTTAGTTGGTGCATTGATTAGTTTCTCTGTCCCATGTTTTCCATGACTGCAGGTTAGCAATGCAGTGATGCTCAATAAGCAGAGCAACATTGCCCTCTAGAGTCTGTTAAGTAATTGCAGATACAAATACAAAGACTAAATTATTAAACTTAAACTTAAACTTAAACTTATCTTTATTTGTCATTTGTGACATAGCACAGCACAGCACACCATGCACAATGAAATTTAACCTCTGCATTTAACCCATCACCAAGTGAACAGAACCTGATTCTTAAAATATAAGTAGTTTTGATTAATATAATTTGTAAATAAATGTATCACTTTTTTTCTGTTTTGAATAATAAAATCTAAATTTGATAGATTAGAATGAATAAATACATACAACATGCAGCAGTTATTAATGTAACCTTTCCAGGGGTCACACTCACCCGTTTGTAAATAGCAAATATTGTTCCGATTGAAGCCAGGCAGTCGATGTTACTGGAGCCGTCCAGAGGATCGAAACAAACCACGTACTTTCCCTGTTTTGAAAATAAACCAAAAACAAGTAACTTTATCCTAATACTTAATTCCAACTACATTTTATACAGCAACATTTTATATTATGGTAAATGAAGACATGAACAGGACGACTCATGTTCAGCTTGTTCATTATACTCACCCTCTTATCTTTGGGAGTGATGATGAGATCCTTGTTCTCCTCAGAAACCATGCAGCAGGTGCTGTAGGAGGCCTTCAGCATGTTGATGACCAGGTCGTTGGACAGCACGTCCAACTTCTTCACATCGTCCCCTGTCACGTTCACGGAGCCCGCCAGACCCTGTCTGTACGGAGTGACCAGCAACAAAGTGAGTTCAAACCACTGACCAACTCTATGTTATGACACTGATAGAAAGTTTTTACTGTTTAAAAAAAATCAAATCCTATATATTAAGAAACAATTCTAAACAGTGACTTTTTAGTGAATCTTTAGAACAGTGGTTCTCAAACAGTGGTACGCGAGCGCTCTCTAGTGGTACGCGGGGAAAATTCATATTTTCACATTTACATTTTAAATTGAATAAATCTGAAACATACTATGCACAATTAATACAACATTTAAACAAAAACATCTTTCTAAACATTTCTAAACATCTCTTCTGTGGTGGAAGCTAACAGTGAAGGTCTATGCTGCTATATTCTAATGTTGGTCATCATGGTGGTACTCAGAGAGATCCAGGTTTTCTCAGGTGGTACAGAGTGGAAAAGCTGGAGTACCACTGCTTTACCACATTTTTGAAGCCAGTTAACAGCACGTCAGTGAGAATTCTTTCAACATCACTCAATCCACTGTACTATATTTAAACAATCCTAACTATGAGGAGTATTTTACTGTTGTTTATTTATACCCTACTGTATAAAAGCCAGAAATCTGAAAATGATGAAATACACCTTTATCACACATTCAGTGTTCATTGTCATTTTGCACTCAACAGCTGCACGTTTGACCTCTGTATGACCTCATATCAGCTGTCCTCGCCCCATTATCAACCAGAACTCACCCTAAGGTATGTTCGTAGATGGACACATGAAGACAACGTCTTTAAAAAGCAACTCAGGGCCAGGAGTTGAAGTTTGTCCTTGGTTTAGTCAAGACCTTCTACTTTCTTTGTTTACATGAAAACAAAATGGTAACTAAAAAGGAAGTCATGAACTCTCCAATAGCCTGACAGAGGAAAAAACAAATGGGTTTGTGTGATTAAACCATCTTCATCCAGAGGTGATAAAACACTACATAAAACATACAATATGATGAACAAAATGTATTGATGCATTAGTTGTCATGTAACCAGAAGAACAAATGAGGGTGAGAGCCAATCAGAGCAATGTTTGTTGCTCAGTAGGTAGGAGGTTGTACCCAGAGTTACAACTGTAGTGACAATATGTCCATCAGGAGGAGAATAAACAGAATCAACTGGGAGTATGAAGTCAAGAGACGATTAATTTGTCAAAGGAAAATATACTTCAGTATTATATTTATATTTATTTATTTATATATTATTATATCTATTTTGTCAACTAAACATACAATTAAAAACAGTTCTTTTGACTAAATTGGGACTAAGATTAAGTTACAGTTTAGTCAAAAGACTAAGTAAATGTCAGTCTGTCATGCATTTTGCATATCTTTTGACATTCATCATATAATATATTGTTGTAGAGGAGAGCAGCACTTACAGGTGGGCCAGGCCTGCCTTCCGAACAGCCGAGGAAATGGCCTTGATGGCCGTCAGCATGGCGTTGATGAGTTGGGTCAGCTCACCGGTGGCTCCCTTGGCCTGACGGCCCGTCTCGATGACAAACCGGGTCAGGGTCCATACATCTGTGTCAAAGCCTGACTGGTCCGACATGACTGTAGGAGCGGCGGAGTGCGTGTTTTGTCAGCGGAGGACCTCCAGTGAGTGAGGAACCTCATCATGGGCCAAGTCCTTTTCATGACCAGAGCAGTGAGGCTGGGCCAGGAGATCTATTTGTGAGGGCAGCTGAGTGGAAGAGTGACTGCGTATGTGTCAGGGTGCGTGTGGGGATGAACGAGGGGAGTGGAGGGGCGGTGTCGGGTGTCAGCTTCAGAGACTAGCAGAGTCATCCTACACAAACACACTTTGCCTGTGTTAGGATGTTAGTTTTAACCACTTATAACTGATCTAAATGAATTTCTTTTCACCTCTAAGCTCAAGCTGCAGCACAGTGTATATATTCCTAACATGTATTGCGGTAAAAAAAAAAAGAGTTAAAAATGATTTTGAACCTACTGTTTTATTTTACACAAAGGTTACAGACATACTCAGTGGTAATGTTTCCACACAGCAGCTGTAATATCTTCAAATGTCAGTGGGCCCATGTGAGCTTCTGCTGAACTTTAACTCAAAGGTCAGCTCAGCCTGATCATGTCCCTTGGAACCTTTGGAGACTGTGAGGTGTTGTCATAGTATATATAGTTTTTAAAAAATTGTATTACTTTGATAATATTTTACTTTAGTCATTTATAAAAAAAAATGTTATGCAGTCAAGGTCAACGAACAAATCAAAACAAATAAAGTGCTGAAAGTTCTGGATTTGGTGCTGAACGGTGGTTCAGTGGGGAGTGGGCAGGTCAAGTTAGACAATCAGGTGGAAGTTGATTACTCCCCTAAGAAAGTGTGTGTCGACGTGAAGAAGATTTTCTTCAGGACATGTTGTACGATCAGTGGACACGGTTCTTAATATAAGGGGCGAGGCAGACTTTTGGACCATTTGCAGTTGAGGCATTGACCAAAATAATAGCTAAATGACAAACCACAACTTAAACAGAAGCCACACAACAGACCAGAAGATGATTTTTCCTTTTTTCTGATTTATTCAAATTCATCAGTTTTCATTTGCATAGAGGTTGTGTTTGGTCCTTCACACACACGAAGACACACAAGGCACGACTGGAGGTAAAGTGATGAGGAATTCTCTTTGGTTTCATTAGTGCATTTCTTGGAGAGTCTTTTGGCACGACTCTGGTCCTTCAAGGTTCATGATGGGATGTGTGCATTATAGAGGGTTCAGCATTTATGGTCTATGAAAAGGAAAGTTAGGTCCACGTGACCATTTTTGGTCAATTTTTTCTGTAAACCACAGCTTTTACATTACTGATTCAACATTACACCAACTTGTGTTCTTCACAAATACATGTGATACACTCTGTAAGACACGACTGAAGGCACAGTGCGTGTCAGTTAACTGATACTACTTGATGGTGGTTATGAGATTGGAGATTGGGTGTGGCTTCACTTCTTGGCATGTTTCTGACAAATGGCGATGTATTCCAGAACGTCCTCAGGAGAACCCAGGGCCACAGGAGCTCGCTGATGGATACTCTCTGGCTGGATGTCCAGGATGTTCTCCAGACCGGTGGAGGCCATCCCACCTGCCTGCTCTATGATGAAGGCCATGGGGTTGCATTCGTAGAGCAGCCGCAGCTGTGAGTGCGACAGTGGAGGTTAGTTACACATGGGAACAATACTGTTCAGAGCAAACTCTAAGACCAGTGGTTCTCAATTGTTTTCCGTCATGCCCCCCCCTTGGGGACAGAAATGTTTTCACACCCCCCTGCAACCCACACCCCCACAAATTGAAATACTATTGAGAACCTGATAACATGTATATTTTTATCTGTACAAACCACTGTGTGTTTTGCTGCCACCTAGTGTCTAGGAGGCTTGTTATCTGGGGGGCCCCCGCCCCACTATCTGAGAAGTACTGCTCCAAAACTATTAGTTTAGCCTTGTCTAAAACCTTCATACTTTTACCTTTTAATGTTGGGACTCAATCATTGGTGGATTAGAAACAATTTATGATATGTATCCTGTTTACGTCCACATCAGCTACTGAAATAAACCAATAAAAGTTTTACATAAAAGTCTTCATTAACAATACATAACAAACATGTTACTCATTGTAATAACAGAAAACAAAGCAAATAAAATTTATCACATCAAAAGATTTTTCAGAAAAATTAAATGAACAAATTGTGAGAAAATACTTTTAATTTAAGTTTTTCTTTTAAAGTAATAAAAATACAGGTTAAACAGCTTAACTTATCTCCTGAAGGCCACTACAAATGTTAAACTTTGACAAGGTGCATTTCTGTACATAATAGTATTTGAGTCACTTATTAGTCTGGCAAAGGGGAAATTTACAGTGCAACTCTTTGCCACTGACACAGGCTGCCACAGGAGGCGCCATTACCTATATGAGATTACTCTAGGAACTGAAACTCAAAACTCTTATCTTGCAAGGAATGTGTGTTAACAGCTACACTATGGATCCACTACATATTTAATTTTCTAGTTTCTCTACCATTGTAAACATTTATTTTTAAACATCATTATAGTAAAAACAGCCTGAATGACATCAGCCTGAGCTACTAACTCCAGAGAGAGGCTCTTAAAGTGGCATTTTATCCAAATGGAACAAAAAACAAAACAAAACAATGATCCATTGTTCTCAGCCTGTTTTTGAACAAGACATTCACATCTTACATTTCCACAGTGTCAGTGTCATGTTTGGCTTCATTTTGCAATGACTAAAAGGAAGTAAAGAAATAATTGTGACACTGTCCTCTGCCTATATGTTACAATAAGATTTAACCAATTTAAAAAAAAACAAAACGTTATTTTCCCGTGAAATGTGCTCAAGAGCCGAGAATGAATCTGGATGTTTGTCAGTGGTTTCTAGTTAGGTTTGTTGCTAACAACTATGTACTTTTCTTAATCAGCAGTTCAGGAGAAGGTGAACACTGAGATGCAAACATTTAACTATCACTATATTTCTTCGTTTTTACACATGTTTTCTTGTGTTTAATTGTCTTCAGCTCTCACGTGGATAATGACACAGCGACGTACCTTTCCCTTTGGACTCTTCACATTCCCAGGGTATAAAAAGATGCCTCCATACATCAGTGTTCGATGAACATCCGCCACCATGGAACCGATGTAGCGAGCGCCGTAAGGTTCAGAGCCGTCCTGTCATTTACAAGACTGCATTAATCAATTTGTCACACTAGCAAACTAATAAATATTGCAGTTTTCCTGAAACCCATGAGAAATAATTTACAATCAAAAACTATTTTAAAGAAGCGTGTTAGATTCTAAACATAACCCAAAACACTGACTTCAGGAAATACGATTTTTGACCGCAATATACAACTTCACCACTTGGTGTTGCTGCATTTCACCCAATCTCAATTAATTAAAGGCTACCGCTTCCACAACCCACCCATAAATGACTTCAATACCTTAGGGAACTTTTTCTTTTCCAGGTACTCTGTGACAGCGGGGTCAAAGTGCTTTGCGTAGCCTTCGTTCAAACTGTAAATCTTGCCTCTCTTCTTGATCTTCACGTCCCGGTCAACCAGTATAAATTCACCGATTGCCTGATGAGCAGAAACAGAACAATAGAAACGTGCGTCTCCAAACAAACATTATGTTGTTCTGTACAAAGAATAACTGACTGGGTCAAGCATGAAGCAGTTGACTCCGTTGCCGGTGGAGAGTACGATCATGGTGGCGCTGCCGTAAAGAGCGTAGCCGGCTGCGACCAGATCTCTGCCTGGATGCAGGGCGTCCTTCTCACATGGTTCATCGTCTGTGGTCTGGCAGAAACCATACATTATTAATGTTTTTGCTTTTTCAGAGTTTGGAGCAAAAACACTTCATTATTAAGAAATAAATTGACTTATGCAATGATAAAATGGTTTGTTTTGACATTGGCTGATACCTTTTTGTAGATGGCGAAGATGGTACCGATGGAGACGAGGCAGTCGATGTTGGAGGAGCCATCCAGAGGGTCGAAGCAAACGACATACTTGCCCTGAAAGAGGAAAGAGATGATATTTATTTTATTTTTAATTTTTATTGTTAATGAGTTTTACATGATAGGTGTTTTTACATTTCAAATCATGCAACTCATTGGTTCCCAAAGACTGGGCCACGACCCTCATGTGGGTTGCAAGAAATTTTTTTTTGGAATGTCTCACATAGTGTTTCTCAGGAGTTTACGAATAATGTCTACAAACTTGGGTCATGAAGGTTTGTGACTTTTAAAATATGGGTCCCCAGAAAAAAAGTTTGGGAAAACACTGACGTAACTGATGAAGTTTGTCCTTTTTTTTCTTTTATTAGTCATGGACATTTACTTGGAAAAACAAAACTTGCATTCGTTACTGGTGCATGTTGATCCAAAAATTAAGCATTTGCTTATAAAAAATGTTTATATAAAAGTGAAGATCAACTGTACTTTTGTGGTAAAAAAAAGACACCTCTGCTCATCACTCCTCTACCCAAGTACAACAGTGAACTATGTGCAGTGGCCTTTGGATAGTAGTCCAACTAAAAACACTCCTTTTTCCTGCAACTCTGCTTCCTCCTCCTCCTCCTCTTTCTTCCTTATTCATTCATGAATCAGCTTTAACAGTAAGTAGACAAAGATGTTCCTTGTTTGGACAGTGTTTGATTCTGGCTGATTTGGTCTTTTGGGGTTTCTGTGTTCCCAGTACGGCACAGAGACACTCACTACAGATACTCACCCTGTGTTCGGGCTCTACGATGATGGCATTGTCGTTCTCCTCTGACACCAGTACGCAGGAGGTAAAGGAAGACTTGAGCATGTTGATGACCAGGTCGTTGGAGAGGATGTCCAGCTTTTTCACCTGGTCACCTGTTACATTAGTGCTGCCTGCAATGCCGTAGCTGCGGAGACAAAGGGAAGACATCCAGGATGAATATTTAGAGGAAGTACAAATAAAAACCCTTGGTCAACACATAGACACAGGTTCATCATAGGTAACATGATAGGATTCTGAACATGACATGACAGTGAGGTAAAATTGGTTGTTAAAATTTATAGTGTATCATGGAGTGGGCGTGGCGGATAGTTCAGGTATGCGCTTCCTGATTGGCTCACAGAACCAGAATCTTAGGCTCAGTCTTGTGCCAACGTGGGTACATGGAACTGAACTGCACCGTCAGTTTCTTTTTTTTTTTGTGTGAAAACCTTTAAAAACAGTAAAATGTCTGTTTACTCACAGGTGGGCGATCCCTGCTTTCCGCACAGCGCTGGAGATGGCCTTCACGGCCGTGCACAGGGAGTTCAGCAGCGTGGTCAACTCCCCGGTGCCTTTCGCCTTCCTGCCCTCCTCCATGACGAACCGGGTCACGGTGACCACGTTGGTGTCGAATGTTCCTCGGTCGGACATAATGGCAGTGTTGGGTCCAATCAGTCAGAAAGTGGATGTTGTGGTGAGAGGTGAAGTGCGGAACTTAAATGCGTTGTGACGTAGAACTTTGTTGAGGGGTGTGAAGTTGTGACGACCAATGGAAGAGTGAAGGAGGGGCGTGGCCAGTGTGGAAACACGACCCGCTTTGTACACACACTCACCCGCAGAGTGACGAAACGTTCCTGTTGGCAACACCGGGATGTGAGCACGACAATAGCTGCTGCAACTATATCTACAGTTGAAATGTTACTGAGCAAACACGACATGTTGTTCCTGTGCTACAGAGCGTGGATTTAAACAAAAGACTGAACAGTTTCATAATGATTATAACTTTTGATATGGTCTGACTTCACATTCATCTTGTTCTCAGTTATGCAACTGACTCTACATTCTTCGTTTTTTGTATCTTTTTTTCAGATCGAGGATGTTAGACGGACAAGTTTGATGGTTTTCCAATTTTTCAGAATTACAGAAAAAGAACCTGACGCATATTCAACTACTCTAAAATGAGGGGGGAAATATTAATAGAAATAATATAATATTATAGTACGTGGTACTTTACGTGCACTTTATACATAAAATAGTAATCCAACGAATGGTGACTGGAGGTGTGCAATGCGATTTTACCTGTCATACAGAAGAGTCCAGTTATAATCCCCAACCATAATCCATAATGACGTGGGGGCCCTAATGATAGACATTAATTATATATTATATATTTTAAAAAGTTCCTAAACTGAGTTATAACTATGCATTTCGTTTTATATTTTGGCTCCAAACTATGAAAAAACATCATCATCTCTCTGATATGAAACTTTTTAAGACTACACACGATCAAATAATTACAATCGGTGCGGTATATTATTTTTTACTGTCAGTTACCCATTCTATTTCTTCGTTTTTCTAGAGAGAAAACAGCATACATTTATTTATTGACGTTATTACAGGGAATTACCACAAGGTGGTAGTCTTGAGCTAGTTTACGAGTCTTTTGGTTGATAATGTGGTATGGGAAAAAGGTAAAAGTTAAAAAAAAGTTACGTGGCTGGTGTGTTGTTTTTCGCAAGAGGCTGCCTCAAGTGTTGTAGACATCCGAGAAACATTAAACAAGTTTAATCAGACATTAACGTATGTCTAAGACATGTATCAAAGGAGTCAAATGTTGATATTAATGCGCCAATGAAAACTGACCAATTGATTTGAATGACCAAAGGAACTATATTATTCAGCGGATTTTTTTTTTACATTTTACATTACTTTAAAAGATACCTATATTGAATTGTTTTAGATGCACACTTTCAGTTGGGTCACCTCAAGTACCTAATAAAAACAAAGCGTAAAAGGTTGTCGTAAACTGCTGCCGGCTGTCTTGTTTTAACGGCTAGTTCGGGACTCAATTTAACCCGCAGTGGGCCTGCTTTACGACAGGAAGACTCCAGAGTAAATATCCTGTTGATTACGCCACTAAAAGTAGGGCATCGGCAGGTAAGCTGCACCTGTGACATTCACGGAGCTTCCTACCGACGCACTGTGGACTCGGGTTGTCCGGACACCAACTGCGCATGTCCACCCCCATGGAACGAGTTAATGCTGAAGCGGACAAGTACAAAGAGGCTGCTGCTGCTGGGGACGGGACGTGCACGGAGACACAGGACCTACCTGTTGTTTCTACACTTTATCGTGACTTTAGTACTTTATGAGGACGTTTAACCAACAGGGACTTTAACTCCACGGACTTTCACAGTCCACCGACTCTACACAGTGGTGAAGGCGTTGTGTCCAAAGCCACAGAACTGCCTGGAAAACAGTCGGAATCTGGTAAGTTAAACGCGGCAACTGGCAAAACTGTAAATTGCAATTGTCCTCCAGTTAAAACTTAAATACTTCTCATTTTAGTGTGACGCATGTAGCTTCTGCTGTTAGCACGGTGTTTTTGCGGCTGTCCTCCATGTATTTTCCATGGTCAGGTGGCCATGCAGCGACCAGACAATCTCATGAAGCGCAGCAGGTTAATCTGGATTAATCTGGACGTCCGTCACGCGTGTTCGCGCCAAGCAGGTGTCGTAGAATTTCAAGGAGTCCCTAACATGTTGCAACACGAGTGGAACTTTGTCCTCGAGGTGCTGGCAAACGTGGAGTCGAATGTCTTTATATTAAGGTTTAACTCGGTTGTTTGTGTAGGTTCTCAGTCGTCGCGGTCAGTTTAAATGGAATGAAGAACAGACCAGTCAAGTTTCACCTCTCATCCAAGAGGCTTCATTCGGTATTCGTTCTTGTTGTTGTTTTTCTAACAGATATTACTCTGTTAAAAGTAACCTATCTCACGTGACCTGGTAATCCATCACCACACAATGATTTATGATTTACTTTCAAGTGGGATTAAGCAGTTCAAATGAAGTTCAAATGAAGTTAGGTAATCCATAAAACTTTCCTTCACGGGAAAAAAACATGCAACCCCTTTTTTTTACACGTTGGTATGATTAAAAATATATATAGCGTGTCCTTATATGATCACGTGACCCTACAGAAGCCTCCCTGCAGGGATGAATGTCTGAACCAAGTCTTCCCTTATTTGACAGTGGTTCAACATGAAATACGATGTATTTTCCATTAATATACATTTAGGTCATAAAGTACATTGGTGTCAGGCACCAGCAGATCACTTCTGTTTGTATCGCCAGTACCACCACATGGTTTAACACACATTTATGTTGTCAGTATATTGAGGGAAATCACATGTTGCTTCCATTACACATTCTTAATGTGATTTGAGTACAAACAATATCAGGCGTGGGGAAACTTTTTGACTCATGGGCCACAATTGGTCCTAAAATTTGACAGGTCAGTGAGGGCAGGTCAGGAGCAGATAGATGGAGCGTTCCTGTGAACTTAGATAAATGACATGTAAAATCATACATAAAAGCTAAAATGCTTTTAGCCTTATTTACGGAAAATGTGGGCATAGCCGAGAAAAGGCAAAAGTATAATCACAATACAAACAAATTATATAATTTGGACACGTTTGGCAGGCTGGATTACACAGCCGAACGGGCTGCATCTGGCCCCCAGGCCGTAGTTTGTCCATTCCTGAACAATAATTTTGTACTTATATTTTTAATCATGAACTGTGTATTATTGCATAGCGGCATTCACATTCAAGTGTGTGATATATTTAATGTTTAATGTGTATACTTTTAACAGTAGGGAACAATTTATTTTAGTATTTTGAATATCCCTCCCGATCTCTTGTTCAAGTTACCGTGACTGTTCGACTACATAAACCTGACATGTTTAATTCCCTGACATTTGTTTCTTGGACTGTAAAGAAGCTTTGTTTTCCTGTGCCTTGTCGGTCTGCTTCACGCTCTCAGACCCTAGTGGTGGTTGGTACATCAGGCTCAGTAACACCCGGGGACACACATCAGCGAGCCAGGTCAGGTCATCAAGCCTGTGTGGACATATGGCAGAAGTTTCTCAATTAACGCCTCGGTGAGACCAGCCTTCTGTCCACATGATGAAAGCCTGGCCTCCCCTGCTCAGAAGTGTCACCCTACAACCACTGCCTCCCTGTGATTATGACTCCCATCTTCTCACTGTTTGTTCAGAGCAAATGACTTCCACTCTGCTGCGTTGTCCTGGTGGGCTGCACATCTCTGCCAGCTTCGCCTTTCTGCAGGCTTGCTGCTGTGGTGTTTTCTCTGTAATTTTAGGAAGCTGATTTGTGCTGAGTAGTAATTTTAGTTTTTGGCCTCACATCTGTGTCTGCTCCTCTTCCACATGTGCTTCTCCTGCTCCCTTTTTTGAGATACTTAAAGGGCCTTTTTCACATCTAGCATTTGTGTGAAGTTTTTTTTTTTTTTCTCTCCCCGTAGAGCGAACCCCGACAAACCGTTGTAAGTGGTCTCGGTGCCCGTCTGTGGAGTTGTTGCAGCTGTTTGGGTTTTTAAATGTGGGATGAAGACCTCAGTGAGCCTCAGGGTCTGCCCTGTTATTATAAACTCAACATACTTTATATAGTAAATCCACCAACACTAAATACAACATTTGATGAAAATGAAATGTGTTTAGTGAGATAGGAAGGTAAGGTAAGAGGCACCATTTTGGAGTCCTTTATGTTTGTACCTTTAAAGTACATATAAATATGTAGTTCTGATTCAAGAGTTTTAAATAAAACAAATATTTTTTAAATAACAGTATGTCTTTGATTCATTAACGAACGAGACATTACAGGATGTCAGCGTTAATTCTAATGAGGTTCTGACATTGTACAGACCAGATAAACAATTTAAATTTAAATAAAAGAGTGTCAAAACATTTTTCGTTATTCCTTTAGAGTAGCGTAAACTACATTTATATGACGTGAAAAAGTCAAAACTTTTGTTTTTACTGATTAACTTATACTGTACAATATTTGAATTCTATGGTAGAATTGATTAGAAAACTAAACACAAAATAACAAACTAACTGATTTAAATGAAGATTTGCAGTAATCGGCTTCAATCTTCTGCCATTAATACACACCGGGTCTCATTTAAAAAAACAACAAGGACAAACACATAAAACCCCAAGTGGAGGAAGCTCATGTCTGGCTGATTGTAGACTTGATAACCTCTGATTGCCTTAAAGCTAGCTAGAAATAAATGCTCCCATCAGCTGCAGGTTCCTGTGGTCTGTTGTTGTTGACCTTGTGTGAAAAGACAAAGGCAGTGTTGATGAAAAGTGTCACATTAAATGTAAAAATGATGAGAGGTCCAAATCTCCACTGGAATATTCCCTCTCCTCGGCCCGGCTCAGGTTTCCTAGCCTCTCGGTTGCTTGATTTGTCGTTTGATTCGGCCGTGCGTGCTGCAGCCTGTGTGAGATTTCTTCTCGAAGGAACATTGTTACGAGCGAATACAACTGAAAAGAAGGTATTTGTGTGTGTGCGCAGCGGGGATTAACCCCCGGCTAAACCCTGAAGTGTGTTTCACAAAGATGTTTTGTTTCCTGGTATGTTAATCCCTGTTCTTCCCGTTGAAACTCTTCTCCTTCATTACGTGCTCATTATTTCACCTGTGATCAATAGAAATCCAATCGCAGTCATGTGGTTCAAATGAGAATTTATTTCCTTTTTCCGCTTGTTTATTATCTTTCATGATGTTTACACAACATTTTGCAGCTACTCTCTTATCGGACTGAGTCACTCCGACTGTTTTTCCAACTCTCACATGTGGTTTTTTTTTTTACCAGCTTGTCAACACGGAATATATAGACTCCTGGATCGACTTAATGTAATATGATCAAAATTTTATTTCATTAGTCCGATCTTCAGTCGACACCGTAGTAATCGTGTTGTTGTTCTCACCTTACATCTGCACCGGGGGCAACAAACTCAATCATTAAAGGGGCCATTTCTTGCCTAATGAGCGTCTTTATCATTTGATGAAATAAATCGTACATCTATAAGATGCCCTGAAGTACGAGTCCTCTGTACTTGACTTGACTTGTTTTGATATTTGATCTCAACTGGAGCAGTGCCACGAAAATGGGTGGGAGGAAACTCCAATTATCTTTCTCTGCCTTACCCACGCCTCGAGGGAAGTGAAGATGATATTATATTTTCCCCTCCAACGCTGAAAAGTGCTATCAGTCCATTGCTCACACCCATTTGATTGTTCTGCTTAAATAGTCAGCGATATTTTTTTTTTTGTGGCTGGAATTCTTTTCATCCTCACATTTGAGTGAGTTTTTTTCCCTCCTTTTTTCCCCCCCTCCAACACTGCAGGCTTCTTGTATATGTTCTTGAACTTGAAGTACTGTAGTTACAGATATATGAGATCAGAAATTTTTCAAGAGACGGTGAATTTCCCTTCTGGTTGTTGAAGCATCTAGTCTGCGGGAAATAAAAAGGTTTGGCTGAAGTGGGGAGGAGTAGAAATAACTTTCCTTTTTATAAAAAATGGTCCAGTTGATGCTGTGATAATCTCTCTGCTATGCAGGCTTGTATAGACTTTGCCCCTTAAGTTTAAAAAAAAAAAAAGAAAAGAAAAAGTGAAGGTGAGACCGAGAGCTATGTTTCAATGAAAAACACATGACACAAAGGTTGTGTTGTAGAAGGTACAAATATCAACCACTTTATGTAGTATGTACTTTAGATCTGGGAGTATTGTCTTGCTGAGAGCTCTCTGAAGTTGCAGCTATGATATTTGTTGATGAATGAATTCTTTATGCTGGAAATTAATGATTAAACTCAGACTTTGGATCAACAAGGTACAATAATTGCTTTAAAATGCTTTTTTCATAAATCATTTTTTATGCACTACAGCCTCATAAATGGAAACTAAATTCACGTACTGGTAATCTGAACAATAATCTGGTAACCAGATTATAGTTGCGATTATTCTTTGTTTAAATCAATCCCCAAGAAAACGTGACGAGAAAATTGAAGGATTTTAATCCACGTTTGAACAGTGAACTGGGCAGAGTTTCCTTTGTAATCACAAGAGAGTTAAAAAAAATAAATAAAATGACAACTTGACTCATGCATCTTTATAATCTAAGACCTCCGGTCATTAAGATCTGCTGAGTTTGCTGAGAGAGTTCACGGCTGAGAGAATCCCAGACTCTCTGACCACTGGTCACCAGCCTGCTCATGTTGCAGTCTCCCTCACTGGTTGGTATTGTCGTGTTACAGTGTGTGTGTGTTTGATGAGAGGAGAGGCTGTGTTGTGATTGGCTCAGATCGCAGCCTCAGACACCAATGAGTGACGTCTCGTTGTTAATCCCACTTTTCTTCCGGGGATGTTTTTTTGTGTGTGTGTGTGTGTGGCTGGACTGGG